GAGGTATCAGCAGTGTGAGAAAATTGTCATTAATGTGTCCGGGTACTTCAACTGTAGTGCGAGTTAAGATACACGAGTTCGCACTGGATCGTCGCCAGAATTTAAACATAATTAGACGCTACACGCTGGTCGATCCTGTAATTGTGGGAGCCGTATGCTTGTGAAGTGTAGAACCCACTGCAGGAACTGTCAGCTTAACATGGCGTGCATATTTGGGGGCGGAGGATGCGGATTCGCGTACGGAAGTGGTATCCTGGTTGCCTGGTTGCTATCCTTGTCGCTACAGGCTCCCCTCCCGGCAGCAAGAAGGAAGTGATACGAGACTCAGTAGTTTCTCTTCCGAACCGCTATAGACCACCCCAGAACTCGAGCGCAACTCCTTTTCGCGTTGGTTCCCCCTTTAACACACAGGCCTCTCACGAAGAAAGACAATCGGGCACACCGCCGCCGCAAGATCATAGCGACGCCCGTATATTAGTCCAAGATGCTCCAGTTCTGGAAAAAGCAGGCCTTTTTCAAGCCGGCCGAGGTTCGGGATGCCGATCTGCACGGACAAACGGCCGTCATTACCGGCTCCAACACCGGTGTCGGCTTCCACACCGCCCGGCAGCTGCTTGACCTGGGGCTGACGAGGCTCGTCCTCGCCGTCCGCGACGCAGAAAAGGGCCGGGCGGCCGCTGCCCGGCTAACCGATATGTGCAAGCTGGCCGAGGATAGGATCATCGAGGTATGGCCACTCGATCTCACCTCATATGAGTCGGTCATGGCCTTCGCCGAACGCACACGGAGTCTAGACCGCCTGGATATCGTCAATCTCAACGCGGGTATTGGGCCGGCCAAGCGCGTCTTCAACCCCACTACCGGGAACGACGAGGTAATCCAGGTGAACTATCTCTCTACGGCACTATTAGCGATCCTGATCTTGCCCGTGGTCAAAGAGAAAAGACCTCACCAGCCGCGGCCCACTCGCATCACCTTGACGTTGTCAGAGGTCGCGTCTTGGACTAACTTCAAGGAACAAAACCAACCGGGATCTATTCTCGATGCCCTAGACAGCAAGAATGGCAATGTAGATATGCTGGATCGCATGTGGGTATCCAAGTTGCTAGGGCAGTTTCTGCTCGTGCGACTCGCGGCTGAAGTCCCCCCTTCAGTCGCTTTGATCAATGGGGCATCTCCGGGGGCAGTCCATGATTCACAATTCGGCCGGGACTTTGAGAAGACTTTCTCATACACCCTTTTCAAGAAGTTGGTCCTGAATCACGTTGGTAACTCATCCGAGATGGCCGCCTGGATGATGACGGACGCTATCGTCAACCATGGCGACGAGACCCACGGGAAATTTTTGTCTTTCCAGAAAGTTGCGAGGTTAGTGTGCTATTTAAATTCAATAAGCATCTGAAAGCTTGGGTGCATTGAGGTATTGGAACTAATTCGCATCTTTTGGACACAGCATGGCACCCATTGTCTCTTCAGAGCAGGGAGAGAATGTTTCGGACCGACTCTGGAAGGAGACGATGAAAGAATTGTCATTTGCAAATGTGGAGGGAATTCTAAGAAGTGTGAAAGATTGAGTGGTCCTATCGCAATTTCGAATCGAGAGCACTCAGCATGACGACACGGCGAAGCCACCCTATGTGGGCACGCTCTGGCTGAAAAGGCGGCAACAACCAGTTGACAGCGAGCAACAGGTTCGGTGCGAACATGAGCTACCTTTCCATGTATGATGCCAATCAAAAGAGTATCATAATCGAGTCTGTCGGCGTGGAAAGTATCAGTACATATGCAAAGGTGTTGCAGTGCCCGTGAATCCAGACTTGGGCTTTCAGAAGTGAGTATGAAAAGGCAATTGGCAACTGTACATGAAAAGTGATCTAGAACGAGATTCTTTGCATTTACTTTTGTTCTTACAGATATCAGTGATACCGGATGTCCCTTCTCCTCGTGGCATGCGTTCATACAGAGCTATTCGCACTGGCGACGAGATTCTTCTCCTGAAAACTGCAGGCCTGTAACTTGAGTCTGGGGGAAAAAATACTCGAACAGTACTGTTCCCAGTATCTACTCATGTCTCACATCGGAATAAGCCAAGCGTGGCTTAAAGCGAAAAGGGATTGGTGATGCGGAGCTAATGCGCCAGGAAGGTTTGGCGCGCGGCACAGCTGCAATTTATAAGCAGGCCGTTAGCTGAGCCGATCCCTCCTGTGTTCTTTATAATCTAGCCCTTCTGTTCTATGTCTTATAAGGTAGATTCAGTCCCTCCATCATTAACTTAACTCATCCATCCCGCGAAATCTCACCAATCCATATCATAACAGTAACAGAGTCCAAGGCACTACAATGTTGTCCAAGCGATTGGAAACTGCTACCAAATTCGTGGATCACTATGCCACACACGACAATGAGGTGCTGAACACTTTGCTCGCCGATGATCTCGTCTATGAATTTGCGCCGTCGCGTTCTCTCGATCACATGAAACCGACGGATAAAGCAGGCTATATTGAACTCAAGCAGGGCATGAAGCTGGCGATGACCGGGTATCCACTCGACGTCAAGAAGTATATCGAAGGAGAAAGTGCCAATAGCAAGTATTTTGATCTCTCACTAACGGCAACTGGTGATAAGCAAACGCCGAGGAGTTACGCTGACAAGATCCAGTGGTGGTTGTCTGGTGCACGGGTAGCCCACAGTGGCGAGAGGAACTCAAAGACTATGAGGTGTTCTCTGAGGAGCAGTGGGCTTATGTGGGAGAGTTTGTCTTCATGCTGACCATGGATGAGAAAGGGGAGAAGATCACCAAGATCCTTGAATTCGTGGACAGCAAGGGCACGGATAACAAGATCTGGCCTCTGGCACAACGTGCCATAGAAAACTTCCAAAGGCTGCAGGGGTCTTCTGGTAACTAGATCTGTGAGCTCATCGATTATTGAGTTTCGGGTGTTTGCGTTTACCACTGTATGAAGGGACCGCCTACATACTAGCTTAAGAAGCGTACGTACACGCATTAAAAACGAAACCACCTTGAACTGCAGCACTCGTAAACTCTGACATGCTTGCTTGATGACACAGTCAGCATTGCTTTATTCCCTCACGCGAGCATTGAACCACGATCAGGCATGAGGAAAGAGACTAAGGTCAGAAAGGTTTCGTGACAGGGCATTAAACCTCCGATTTCTATCATCATAGATGGGCACTCCCTTATTCTTACCACTCCTCAAGCACCCTTTAAGGAATCACCTCAATTCATCATGTCCACTATCGATTAAAAACTCGCCTCATATAATCGGCCACTCACACTCAGCACACCTTGGCGGTTTGTTCACTTGCACCCAAAGAATGTATTACATGTAACTACTCATCTGACGCTTTGGAGAGCTCATAATGTGACTCTCCCACCAATCGGAAGTGCCCTCCAGAAGACGTCCAAGTTCTCGCATTCTCGCATCCCAGGCATTAGAGCAGAAGAGCCAAGCCCAGAAGCCCGACAGCACCGACAATCCAAGTAAAGAATCCTGTGAGGGAAGTCTTTGCCACCAAGCTGGCGTCTGACGTTCCCGTACTGTCCGCCCCGCCGGTACTCGACGTACCATCCGCAGACGACGTCGCCGTGGCCGTCGCGCTCTCCGACCCAGCCGAGAAGATGGCGGCGCCGTTCCCACCGGGATACGCGCCCCCAGCGAGGGCGACGAAGGTACCCGGGACCTCAGGCTCGCGGCTCACGTACCAGAACTCGCCAGCCGCCGGCCGGTCGAGCCTGGCCTCGCTGATGAAGCGGTCCAGGCTGAACATGGACCTGTTCTGGTCGCTGAAGCCGGAGAAGGACTCCGGGATGGCGAAGTTTTCCGGCTGTGCGAAGGCGTAGATGATGTAGCGGTGGGCGCTGGAGTTGGTTGGGGGCATGGGTGGGCGGTACGGGACGAGGGCCGGGGTGCTGTTTGTCAGTGCCCGTTGGCCAGTGAGAGGCGCCTGCGCCTCTGTGTTTTGAGTAATGTTTGCGGCCAGCCAGTGGAGGATGAAACGCCTGGTCGGGTTATCTGGCGACGGCGCGTCCGGATCCACCATCAGGATGACATAGTTGCCGTTGTAGTCGGCGATAGACTGATAGGCGGCCGGGTTTACGGCCAACGCCGGCTGTTGGCTGGTGACTAGGGAGGTGCGTCAGTGGGGTGAGTCCATCGTCACCAGCATCGCGGGCGTCGAGCTTACTGTTTCCTCCAAAGAGCTGACCCTCCTGGACCACCGTTGTGTTGCCATCGAAGGTGAAAGCTACGCTGAGCTCGGTGTGGTTGCCGCTATCCACGAATCCGAATTCCGGCGGCGGGATGGCCAAGCCAGGGCATGCCGCAAGGGCGAGAGCGATGAGTCTGTAGGATGTGATTATCATCGTGACCGGCACTTATTTTACTGACTTGTTTGTTTAGAAACAGTCGGCTACCCTTACGCGACCAAGCTGCGACAGAGGCACCGCTTCTTATTGAGTGCAGTACAAAGTGTTGCCAAGAGATCGGCAGTCTTCATCCCGTCATGCACACCAGCAACGGATCGCGCTACTGCCGCAAGAAACATGACATGTATCAGCCGAGAGCGATCCCGTCATTGCTATGGCCTATCAGCACATTTCTCCCCGTTCCTGAAGCTTTGAATATGTGGTAGTGTGCACAATGAGTTTGATCTGATTTGTGGATGGCGAAAACGATGTCATTGGCATCCAACGCACTTGGTCCCGAGCTGCCCGCAAGCACGACTTCCGCCTTGGCTGAGGCACCAGAAAAGGTGATGAGTGCAAAACATTTGGCTCACCACGGCTCACAAAAATTTACTCCTGATGTCTTTTCCTGCTAAGTTGTACTCATACGCCCTACAGACACAGAGACGGTCTCATACCCTTGATGAAGAGCTCTATTTGAACTGCAGATGAAAATGGATGCACCCGCACCTCTGCAGTGTGGTTTGGCCCTCAACAACATCGTAACAGAAAAAAGAATTAAAAAATGAGTAACTGTCCAGCCCAGGACTCGAACCTGGATTTCGTGCCCCCGAAGGCACACTTCAGCTTTCTAGGCGCCCGTGTGTGTCAATCCCGCGTGTTACCATTACACTAGCTGGAGTAATTGTTCCACACTAAGATGAGTGTATAAACATATGAGTTAAGCTCGTGTCTTGTGATAGCTTCGACCTTGACGGGTTGAGAGCTTGTCAATAGCGCCGGCGCGAATAGCGGCGGAGACTAGGCACGGCTCAACACTAAGACTTATAGTGCAAAATAGTGGCATCTAACAGAACAACTGGTTTGCACAAGTAGGTTGGAAAGTCAGTGTTTAAAGCCTTGCATAGCGAATCTCACTATTATCGTCGGTAAGACATATTTTTTCTTGTCCTTATAGGATACTTATTGTTGTTCCATCTTAGTAGAGGAACTTAAAGAATATAAATAGTCTATATAAATACATGAACTGAGGTTTGAAAATTTGGCGATTGCATGTATAGTTGCTTGAATGAGGCATGACTTTGTTGCTGGCATCACGGAATGGCAATGCTATGCTTCAGATGGAGAGTATCAAGCCGCTTCCCAGCACAATATCAGAAAGTTGTCCTGATCATATACCCTCCATCGTCAAAATCATTGCTTGACTAAGCGCCAAACTTTTCATTCTATCTACGTGTTCCAAGGCAAGGCTTATGCACCACCGTTCATTACTTCTTTGGAGAACGTCGCTAGTCTAGTGTGTCTGAGAACTTGAGCAAGTGGATTAATGGTAATTATTCAAAAGCATGGATTAGAATACAGGCTCATAGACTCAAGGAAGTGGTTTACAGATTTATGCCCGAGAAGATCGAATATTTGGTACTAGATGATGTGAAAACCACGTTTGTTGAAGTGCCCCGTATGCCATCGAAGGTGCATTGGAGGTGTCCGGACACTGCCAGCACCGAGGCTTCGGACAGTACGCTGCCTGGATTGCGTACAGAATGGCGAGGGCAACTCTTTCCAGGATCCAGCTCACCTGTCCGAGAAATCCCTCCAACGCTAGTCATGACAATAGCGATGACAGCCCAAGGGGTCCAAAGAAATGCATAGCGAGAGGAGCACGCCGCAACGGGCGCAAGAAGCAAGAAGGGCGGTCTGGAAGTCCACGGGCAGGGCTAGCGGGGGCTATGTTCGCAATATTTTCGCTTCGTGAAGAGAGTTTGCGGTAGGCGCAACGAAGCGCGATCCTATAGACTGTTTGTATTCTTTGAGTTCCTATATTAAGCCGGAAGGACAATGAGTATCCTATCAGGACAGGAGACAATGTGTCTTAATAGACGATTACAGTGAGATTCACTATGCAAGGCTTTAGACAGTAACTCTCTAATCTACTTCTACAAACTAGTGTTCCCTTAGAAGCCACTATCTTGTACTAAAAGTCTCAGTGTTAAGCTGTGCCTAGTCTCTGCTGCTTTTTTCTTAGTTCTTTCGACCTTAAGATAGACCGGCCCGTCAAGGTCGAAGCGGTCGCGAGACATGAGCTTAACCTCGTCTGACGCCGTCAAGCACTGTCAAAGTGCCTTCGCCATGTAACTTAGGCTTTCAAATTTTTCGAAATGGACAATTATGAAAGCCGCCATGTCCCAGAAAGACACGGATCTGCTCAAACGCATAACATCACAGCCTATAGTGATATACGTGAAGTTCAAGGCCGGGATATGTAGGGGGGCAGGTAGGGGAGGGCGTCCATGTTTGTAACATCGCATCATTCCAATTCTGCAATTTTGTAGAAAGGTACATATTTGCATACATAAAAGCGCAGTGTATAATGGACAAATTAGCACAACCTGAAAGGATAAGTGCCATTGTTGGAATAGTGCGTTATCTAACTTGAATCTCCCCGAAGCTCACTGTCGATGTATACATTTAGGTATCCATGTAGAGTCAAAAAAGAATCTTCCTTTTCACCTTCTAGACGAATGCCCTACTTATTCAAAAGCAGGTAGAATATTGAAAGTTGCGAATCTCTAATAGAGCGAATCACCCGAGCGCATACGGGTAATTGCAGCCATTTAATCATCTCAGAGCCAGCCTTTTCCCGGATGGATTTGGTCACTTTTTACACATCCACTAACCCGGTCCACTCGTTCGTGTCGGTGAATCAAATGACGAGGAGCGGTTCAGCCACTGCTGCTCAGCCTCCAATGACACATCGTGGGGGAGGTCAGCAGTTACAGCGACTAATGCAGGCACGCCCTCCCAGAACTGTTAGGATGTTCAGCTGAGGCCGCCTCAGCCCCTGGAAGTGAGCGATAAGCCCAGCAATGAGCCCAGCAACGAGCCCAGCGAATTTCTCGGTGTGTGCATTTGCTCAGCCTCAATGTGACTGCGAAAAACGCTTCCGCCTGCAACATGTATGGCGTGAGAATGCGCAGTCAGGGCCAGGAACAATCAGGTTTTTGTAGTTGCAGGCTAGCTGGGGGACCTCGTTACGCTGCCCTCGACTGCAATGCGATTGTTTCGTTTCAATCCCGTCTTCTGATATCCCAAGCTGGCATTGCAAATCGATGTGAACAGTCGTTGCAATTTTGAGTTTCCAACTGATGCTACTGAATACTATTGTCGTGCCCCGTTAACGGGAAGCGATCATATTAAGAACCCCGAGCAGAAAGACAGGGCAGCCCTGAAGCCGGCAGGTTCCGACATGGATCCGCTCTCAATCACCACCTCTGCAATCACGCTCATCCAGGCAGCTGGTTCCGTAAGTCCTCTCGACACCCACCAGCATCTTACCCTCCTTGGGAAAATGCTAGGCATTTTCAGTGCTTGAAGTCATAGTCCTAGCATTTGGTATCATGACTAGGCATAATTGCTTACGAATTCTTAGATCACAAGCTCATTATGCGGCTTTATCAATCAGTGCCGTGGAGCCGAAACTCGCATTACGAGCCTATGCGACGAGCTTGAAGGCCTGACCTCGGGCCTTGAGGCCATCGACCGCACGCTCAAGGGCCGCAACGCACTTGACCTAGCCCTGGTGGAAGACGACCTATGGAAGCAGTGCGAGCTGGCCCTGGACGACTGCCATGTCACGTTAAATTCTCTGGGGGTTCTGGTGCAGAAGATCAAGGAGACGGTGAGGGTCAAGGCGTGGGCGTGGAGAGTAAAGGCTGTGGTGAACCTCAACGTGTACGGCGCCGACCTCGCGGCATTCAGGGACAAGGTGCACAAGTCGAACTGGGCTCTCCAGACAATGCTCCAGACGATCAACGTCTCCTTATCCCTGAGAAATAATGCCTCGCAGGAGGCGATCCTGTTCGAGCTTGACCGCCTCAAGTCATCCATCGACGAAGCCCTGAGGGCATCCATCCGCCCCGTAGGGGGCTTCACCCACCGGCCCGCCGACCATTCTGACGCGCGCGTGGCCCGGAATCTCAGAAATCTCGCCCAGGCGGCGAGACACTTCCATGGCGCGGCGAGCTCGACGGCCAGCACGATCCGAGATGGGTCTCGTGGCGGGGCGCCACGGCAGGCTTATCCGGGGGCTGACATCGACGTGAGCCTCATGGGCGACCTACCCTCATTCAGGAGGGAGCGGGTTGAGGAATACGTCCGCGAATGGCGCCGGCATCGCAGGTCATCATCGTCTGGATTGACAAGCCCAAGCTTCTCCCCAGCCGGTGAGCATTCCAGTACGTCTCGGCCGCGGAGAGGGTCCCGATCACCACGCCGTCCGACGGGCACACTCAGTCCCCGGCCGCTATCCTTCTCTAGAGCAACGGAATCTGCCACGGTGCCAGAATCGGTAACAGTAGCTACCGTTGAAGACGACGAAGACGATGATGTCGAATTCGAGCGGCTGTTTCTCGACGGTCTGGAAGAGCTCGCCAAAGACCGCATCAAGGAGCGCGACTTTGACAAGGCAATCGAGTTCCTGCAGGAGGCCATGAAGCGCGAGGTTGGCAGCAAGTCCGACAACGAGGGTTTCCGCAGCCTGCAGGTACAGCTCGCGCTATGCTACCTCCTCCAGCGTCGTTCAAAGATGGCGGAGCCCATCATCACTAGTCTGGCGAAGAACAAGGCAGCGTCAGATGCCGTTGTCTGCAACATGCTTCACTCCATGGCTCTGGTTCACCTGTCGCTTTACCACTTTGACAAGGCTCTGACTGTCTGTCGGGAGGCATTGATGGCCAAGAAGAAGTTGCTAAAGAGGGAAAAGATCGATGCCGACGACTATTCCCAAACACAAGGTCTGCTGGTGATGATATACGAAATGAAGGGCGACTGGATGCACGCCGAGGTCTACCAGTCACAGATACCAGCCACTTTCACCTACAAGCACCCTAGGGATGAAGTGGAATTCGTCACTTCTCATCCAAGCTTGCTGGCCACCATTCTCGGCGATGATGTGCCTGACTTATCTACCCCTATGCCGAAAGTCACGCCAGGCCTATACGAGCTGGATGGGTCAGGGTATGATACCTGTCCGACCGCTCACCCTACGTCAGCCCTCAAGAGGAATCACACCCATAACGGCGCTTCGCCACTGAAACTCAAATTTGCTCAGCAACTGATGTATGAAGCCGATACAAGCAAGATAGCTTACGTACCGGAGCCTGCATCAACAGTAGACAGTTCTCCCGCATCCAGCTGTGGTCCGAGCACCAACGGGGATGCTGACGATGAAGTTTCCCCATCCACATCACCGGAGCCAGAGTCTCCAATCAAGCGACGGTTTTCCCGAATGTTCGGTGCGAGAAGAGCCCAACAACTACGGTCTGCTCAAGCGCCTGCACCGCCGCCGGTTGAGAGTGCTGACATCCCTCTCCGTTCACCCATCAAGCCGGCCTCAAAGCCTGGCTGGGTCCACACGATGATTGGATTTAAGAAATCCAAAAATAGATTAGGGAAGCCGCTGCAGGACGATGAGTCCTCGCACAACGCACTAGGGGGTCTGGTAAAGCCAAAGGAATTCAAGCTGCTATACATGGAGCGCATGACCGCCGAAAACGCCGGGCAGGTGACTGATCCAAAGTACCGGCGTCAGTATTGGTCGCCAGAGAGCGTTGGGAAGTCTGATGACAGCGCCCAGGAAATGGATGCTGGCAGAGATGAAGACTCAAGTCGCGGAGCTACAAC